ACTGCATTTTATTTCTACTAATTCTCCTTCTTAATAATAAAATAATAATAATAAATTAGTAATTAAATGGTAAGGCTACTAAATTATGCTTGGTTGAAATGAAATTATTCCTGCCTACAGCCGATTTATATTTAAAAAAAAAACAAATGTCATGTTCTAATTTGCTGTACGGTCCAAACTAAATGTACCATAGATGTCCGTCTGACGCGTGTAACTATTTAGTTATAAAGTGGTTGAAGAAAGAAGATAGAGTAGCAGTTATCTCGTTGTACCACTGTGGTTACGCTCCAAAAATAGATTTTCAATATTCTACAAAAATTGAAAATAAACCTACGATTTGCTTATGACACTATCAACCGATTCACTGAAGATTCAAGCTTCGAAGATCGTGAGAGGACCGGCCGACCTCGTACAGTTAGGACACCCGCGATTATCAAAGCAGTGCAGGCGCGAATCCAACGAAATCCTGTCCGTAAGCAAAAAATCTTAGCTCTTCAGATGGGCCTAAGCAGAATCACGGTCAAAAGAGTGATCAATGACGACCTGGCTCCTAGGACTACGAGCTTATCGTAAGACCGGACATTTTAAAAATTAGGCTAGATAGAACCCGCGCTTTGTTACGGCGGTACGCGGAAAAAAAATACGGCGAAATTTTGTTTTCGGATGAATAAATTTTTAATATCGAAGAAAGTTATAATAAACAAAATGATAAGGTATATGCACACAGCAGTGAAAAAGCCAGCACGCGTATTTCAAAGGTTCAACGAGCACATTTGCACATGTTTTTCTATGAAAAAGTTGTAAAAACCAGTACAGAGGTGTCTCAAACAATGTTCAAAAACAGACATTGGATATTCCAACAGGACTCTACACCAGCTCATAGGGCACGAAGTACGCAAAACAGGTTGACTGCTCATTGAATTGACTTTATCTAATTATATTTTAATTAAGAAGGCTGGCCCTCTTCTAGTCCAGATTTAAGCCCACTGGATTATAAGATATGGTAATATTTGAAGGAGAAATTCTGCTCTAAGCCTCATCAGAATTTGGAATCTCTCCGAGCATTTTTGGATAAAGCAGCGGCAGAAATAGATATGAGTGTGGTGCGTGCTGCGATTGATAATTGAGCGCGTAGATTAAGGGCATGTATTCAAAATAGGGGAGGGCGTTTTGAATAATGTTAATAAAATTGTATTCTAAATTAAATTACCTTTCATTCCATATATAATTTCTATATAATTATCTAAAAGAGTATCATTAATTTTATAAAAAGTTTTTGACAGAACTTATGACCTGACTATTTATAGCCAATCCATAGATAACTTCACAAGGACAAAGATCCGTGGCGAGTAATTTACTATAAACTAAATTTCAGTATATACTCAAATATAAATAATTCGGATTTATGACATATCTTGATTAGACATTTCCAATGAAACGTGATTCGAATATAAATATAAGTAAACTTACAAAGTACTACTTAAGACAAGTTCATCCATCAATCAGTAGTGCACTCGCATTGCTCGTTCCGGTTTGAAAGGTGTACCTATGGATGCCGGTAAGCTTTATGCGACGCGACTTGGCTCTTCCGATCATTCCTGGCTGAAGTAGGGGCAGACGAAAGCGTATTGCTGTTATACGCAAATTGGTTAATTGACAAAAATATTTATGACAATGAATTTCTGACATTGTAAAAGATACAATTTAAATAAAAGTGTTTCATTTGTTAATTTTTATATTATATAAGTTATTTTGATTTAATGTAATTTGCATGCTATATTATATTACAGTATCCGGCGATAAATATTGCACATCGACCTTTGGAAAGAGACAATCAGCTAATTTCGGCTTCATAGAGAGTTATCTCTGTCGCACACAACCTATGTGACGTTCTGACGTTCGAGCTATTATTATTATGGGGTATTAGTAGTGTATTTTCATCTGGTTGGGCTGAATAAATACATAAAAGGAAATAATAAATATACCCAAATATATATTTCATATACCAACATAAATAAATAAATAAATAAAAAATACATAAATAAATAAAAGCCCAACCGGAGATGACATGCCTAAGTGACTCACCGGGATGGCGACAAGCTCGACAGATGTCGACGGTGCCATCCTTTAGGATGTATCTCCGATAGTTATTGGTCTTAATAACCTGATCTTGTATTGCACAGACATAACCCTCGGTTTCCCCGAAGAGGTCACCAAAGCGTAGCCAGTGGAGGGAGGCTACTGTGTCTACGAAAGGTCATGTAGAGCCTTGTAGAACCTCCCGTGGAGCTCCTTCTCCTTCCATACGGTCTCCCAGTCGGAAATGCTCTGCACTACCGGGTCTTGCCATTGCTCGTTGGCTAAGGATAGAGGGGCAAGTCCTTTATAACAAGAAATGACGTCCTTATAGAATGGATTATCCGACCTCGCCAGGAAGTAATCACGGAGGCTGCACACTTCGCGATTATGCATGGTGAGCGCGCTCAGGAAGCCACGCCCACCATGCTTTCGCGGCAAGTACAGCCTCATTAGCGACGATCTCGGATGATGCATCCTATGGGACGTCATGGTAGTGAGGACTTTTCTATCCAGGGCGTTAAGTTCAGTCTGAGTCCACCTGAGTATGCCAAAGGTATACATGAGGACAGGCATGACACAGCCGTTATATGCGTGTGTCTTATTCACACCGAACAAAAGGCTGTTAAGCAATTTGGTCAAGCGTGCATAAAACATGTCGCAAACTGACTGTTTCATACCAGCCTCATCAATACCGATGTTCTGTGACATACCCAGGTATCGGTATGTTTCAGCCTCGGAAAGGGTTCTTATGTTAACGGGCATAGATAAGTCTATGCCCTCAGAGTTAGTAACCCTTGCCCCTTCAACATGGAGGACCGCACACTTATCTGTCCCCAGCTCCATTCTAATGGAATTGCTAAATTCACAAGTGATGTTTAGCAATTCCATAAGATGGGAGCGACTGGAGGCGAATAACTTGAGGTCCTTTCCGTAGCTGAAATCCCCTCCCGGAGCCCTCCAGTAAGGTACTGAGAGGGTTCAGAGAGAGGCAGAACCAGATTGGACTCAGACAATCGCCCTAGAAAATACCCTTTCTTATCCTTATGTGGTTCTCCGCAGCCATCATCAGCTCGCCCAGATGACAAAGGATCGTACTCCACTGCCCCATACACTGCCCAAGGAAGTCTCTAACTGTACAGTCTATTTTGTACAGCTCGAGGACTCTCTTTAGCCATGTATGAGGCACCGAGTCGAATGCCTTTATATAGTCTATCCAGGCGGCGGAGAAGTTCCGACGGTTGCGTTTCACCACTTTGCCAATGACCGCGTCAATGAGGAGAGTGGTTCCTTGGTTCCACGACCACCGCCCCGACATCCATTTTGAGCGCGCGACATCACCTGATTTGAGTCCAGGTGACGAGTGATTCTCGCGCTCGCGCTCAAAATGGATGTTAGTGTCTTGTGTATGGTCGGTAGACACGTGATGGGGCGGTATTTGCTCGGGTCTGTGGTACCCTGGTCTTTAGGAACCAAATGGGTGATATCAGTAGTGAAGAGGATCGGGAGCGACTTCTGGTTGAGAGCCTCTTGTAACTGTCGGGTGAGCACAGTGTGACACACCACGAACCCCTTCAGCCAGTAGTGATGCAGTCCGTCGAGTCCCGGACTTTTTCAGCTCGGGGCCGTACGGACCGCCTCAGCTACGTCATCCGGTGTTATAATGACGGGGTCCATGGGCGTTATACTCGCACATTGACTCGCCACAACTTCCGTCCAAGGGCACTCGCTGTGGTTTACGGGCTCTGACCACAGGCTGCGCCAGAATGCTTCAGTGTCGGCCTGATTCGATGCTGGGCCCGTTCCACTTACCATTGGTCGCTCCAATGATTCATAGAGCCTCTTCTAATCACTCTGGAAGAGACGATTCTGGTTGAACCGTGTCGACCTCTCGGTATATCGCCGAATCCGCTTTCCCCAAGCAGCGATTCTCTGCGTCAGATCATCTATGCGCTCAGTCAGTTTTTGCGTTATATTACCACCATTATTATTATTATTATTACGCAGAGGATAATGCTGAATATCAGGTAGATCAGCTGCTCGTCCTGTATCTTAACTCGTTAGAATATACATATGTAGGCGAGTTTAATGCGGTAGAGAAAAGGGCGGGGAACATTTTTGTGGAAGGCGGCCTTTTTTATTTCTTAAAAACATTACCTCCACATTAGGATATATTGTGGGTGCAGTTTACAAACATACATTTCACAAGGACAAATATCCAGACTCGAAACAATTACTTGTAGGCCATACACAATGTTTGTCCCGTGCGGGATTCGAACCCGCGGCCCTGAGCGCTGCAATTCATTGCTAAGCTACTGCGCCAAGGCGCCTGAGTCGTATAACTTTAGGAACTCCGCTCTAGTATGTCAACGCTACCCGTTCAATCTGAGACAGTCTGTATTTTTTTATATAAATATTTCTTTCCGTGATGATGATGATCATAAAGGTTAGAGAACAGGAGAACGATCGCCGTAGAAAATAGTGTCCCAGAAATATGGACACCATAAGTGAGGCGCTGCGATGGCTAAGTTCGGTCAATAAAAGTCATTTTCAGTCTATTTTTCAGATCAGATGCTAAACCACTTGCACATCCACGCACAATAAAATATTTCTCCATTTTTTTAATGTTTCTTTTTGTCAAAAAGTACAAACTTACAGAGCATGAAAATTTTCTCATTAAAAATTAAATGAAAATTTGTACATTATTCAACTAACTTCACCTACTTGTACTCATAAACAGCTAACTTCGCAGTCATTACTCACCGACGTCAGCGCCGCCATACATTCTACAATTTCCAAGGACGAGCGGGCTATGATATAGTACGTAGTGATCGTTCTCCCGCTCTCTAACCTTCATGATGTTGATATTTTAAAAAATAAGCAATGTCAAAATATAAGTCTCCTTGAAAATGTAATGTACGTATTTAGTCGTCGTTATCTCCCGCTCTGGCCCTGCACCGCGTGGTGTTAACGCCGACGTAGCAAAATTCCACATCGACGCCGCAGCCTCGCAAGTAATGAAGCCACTGTCTTTGCTTTATTGAGGGCTTGTCCGAATCAGTTTTCACCTCGACGAATTTAATCTGGAAATGCAAAATAACTTTATCTTATATAACTGTTTGTACGGTATACTACATTTACATGCCATTACTTTATAACTGAGTGAATTATGATATTTTTTTATAACATTAGAGTTACAAATGAGCTAACAATCTACCAGATCGGAAGCGGTTACTGCTGCACTTTGATAACATAAATAAAATACCTCACAACCTGTTATGTTAGTACATACAAGTATGTTGAATAATATAATATATAATAATATAATATATAATAATATAATCCGGTTTTAAGAGAATGAAGTTTCATTCTCTTAAAACCGGAACAAACGCAGTGATGCAGAAATGCAGATGCGTAAACATTATATTGACATTTTAAAATGTAATAAAGATATTAATAAGTACTTAATTTGCAACACTCCGCTCAATTAAATACAATGATGTGTCTTACCTAGATTGAAGAGCACCTCCCGCCCTCCCTCAATTGCGTGCACCAATCCCGTCACCACTAATACCAGCACCACGCATTATCGTCGATGGTGTGTCTTTCCTGGAATAGTGGTGTTGGGAGTAGTGGTGACGGGAGTAGTGGTGTTGGGAGTAGTGGTGACGGGATTGGTGCACGCAGCTGAGAGAGGGCGGGAGGTGCTCTTCAATCTAGGTAAGACAAATCATTGTATTTAATTGAGCGGAATATTGCAAATTAAATATTAATATCTTTATTATAATGGATTTCCGCAAAGTAACGCCTGATTCTATCAATTAAAATGTTACCTGCTTGGTGTGCATGTTCCACAGTGTGAGATCAGGAAAGCCACTATGAGTATAACGATAGTCAAGAGCCAGACGTCGACAAATGGCTGCTATTGCGATCGGACTGAGACAGGAGCAAACAGCACTAACATTGTCCCAGCCAATAATCCGGTTTATTCCCGATAGCTCGGCTGCAAAATCAAAATTAATTAGAATTGATTGTGATGCAATTAAAAAATTAAGTCATTAAACCTACAAACGTTCACTGAGAGCTGACAGTTTATAATGACTAAGTTTTTGATGTGTAACAACTTTCTTCTCGCTTTCCTGCAATCTGTGCGAGTGATTTTGTGGAAAGGGATAAAAGTGTGTAACAGGATGCCATGGAAGTGCGCGCTATTTTATTTGACCAATAAGCGCGCGCAGGGGTGGTAAAATGTGCCGCTATATGAACTAATTTATTTGTGTAAACTATAATAATAATTAATGTATTCACTGTTGATAATAAATACCTGAAAAAAGTGCAAATCATTGATAAAAAACGCAAGTAGGTAATAATGAATTATTCGAATAAATATTTCAGTATTAAGCTTTTTAAATTTTTAAGTAAATTTCTGTCGCTGCTCAATTGATATTTTTAATCATCATTAAAAAAGAAGAAATACCTTTTTTTTAGGATATAATGTTTGATTCTTGTTATCAAGGTGAGATGTCAGATGTTACACATCATATGCGACCACTGTAAGATCGCTTTTTAAATTGTCGTTAGTTGCCGAACGAATAGTTCAAAGAAATATATTTAAAGATTATATGTATAGCTCAGATGGTTAACGCTCGCTGTAAATATAACAGAACGCGAGTAACCCGGGTTCGATCCCCGCCGGCACCAATGAAAATAGTTAATTGCAATTTTAAGTGCTGATTTACCACGTGCTCGGCGGTGAAGGAAAACATCGTGAGGAAACCTGCATGTCTGAGGAATAAGAGAAAAAAAATATTTCGAAGACATGTGAAGTTCGCCAACACGCATTGAGGCAGCGCGGCGGACACTTCCTTGCCCCAAAACCCTCTCAGAAATGAAGGTAGGCCTGTGCCCAGCAGTGGGACGTATATAGGCTGTACTTTAACTTTATGTATTTGGTATGTGTTACGGCTTGAATGTTTCGCAATGTGTTTCGTGGGTGGTTTTGGGAACCAGAGAACAACCAGACCAAGGGCTGGCTAACCCGATGATCCCAACCGGGAAGTAAACGAAAATAGCTTTAGAACTGGGTAGATAAGGTAAGGATACTCACAAGACTGGAGCACTCATCGTTGTTATGGTGAAGTCTGTATATTTAGGCTGAAGTTCTCGTGTATACACAGATACCACACTGCACTTCGAATGTATATGGACACGAGCAATTGCACGATAGTCTTACAACTTATTTATTGGTTATTTTTAAACAAGCGGTAACGAACACGTTTTATGCGTGCGCGGCCATCTTGCTTCTCTCTTTTTTCTCGACGATAGGTGGCGCACCATTCTGAGCAGTGCGTATACGGGGGGAGGCGGGAGGATAGGAAACACTTAGGAAAAGGATGTTATATCGGGACTGTTCCGAAGCCATAACATTCCCTCCCACCTGAAATCACCTAGGGATTTCACAAGACAACCATCGACCCGGCAGCTCCAGGTCCCCAGTTGCTCATAGAATATAAATTAATATAAACTAAATAGATATCTGAGCTAAGTTGTGCATTGATAACCTTAACTAAACTACAAAAGAAAATCAAACTTAGTTAATTTAATTTTAAAATTAGAACTTACAATCTAGCTTAATAAAACAATAAAAATAAGATTCAATCAAGAGGAAGAGGGCAGACTTTGACTACTGGTCTTGTAAGTAGGCCTCTTTTGGTCTTTAAGGTCACAACCCGGATAATATTGTCCTTTCCGGGGTGGAGTTGGACTACTCGACCTAGGCGCCATTCGTTAGGTGGTAGATTAGGTTCAATGATTGAAACGAGTTGACCAATATTAGGATGTTTGTGATCATTCTTAAACCACTTAACCTTTTGTTGAAGCGTATGTAAATAATCACTTTGCCAAATACGCCAAAAACTTTGAGAAAGCTTTTGAAGTAACTGCCAGCGTGTTCTAGGATTCATATCTTCAGCGGACGGTTCTGGTAGAGCTACTAAAGGACGTCCTATAATAAAATGACCGGCCGTGAGAACATCAACTTCGCCAGGATCAGACGATAACTGACAAATTGGTCTTGAGTTCAGCATCGCTTCAACTTTAGTTAAAACTGTAGTTAGTTCTTCAAACGTCAGGACTTGTGAGCCTATGACCCTCTTGAGATAATATTTAGTAGATTTTATACCACTTTCAAAAATGCCTCCAAAGTGAGGTGCTGAAGGTGGATTTAATTTCCACGAGATTCCACGAGACGTTAATTGATCAGAAATATCCTGTTTTTTATCTATCAATAATTTAACCATTTCCTCAAGATATCGTTTAGCGCCTACAAAATTAGTGCCACAATCTGTCACAATATGTTGACATATTCCACGTCGAGACACGAATCTGTCTAGGGCGGCTAGAAACGCTTCTGTAGACAGTTCAGATACGAGTTCTAAATGAACTGCTTTTACAGATAAACAAATGAACAAGCATATGTAAGCCTTACTGACCCGTGCGTTACGTCGTCTGTTTTCTTTTATAAGAAAAGGACCGCCAAAATCAATCCCTACCTGTTGAAAACAGTAACCTTGTTGAGATCTACAAGGTGGCAGGTTGCCCATAGACGGCTGATAGGGTATAGGTTTAACCCGAAAGCAAGTCACACACTTTGTTAAAACAGAACGAATAAGATTTCGAATTCCTAAAATCCAGAACTTGCGAACAATTAGTGATTGTAACGTGCGAGGTCCACAGTGCAAATACCGTTTATGATAATAGCTAATAATTAATTGAGATAAAATAGATTGTTTCGGTAACAAATATGGATGTTTTGTGTGCTCAGGTAAGTTGAAATTGGTAAGTCGTCCACCCACTCGCATGAGTCCTAGGTTATCAATAAACGGAGACAACTTTTGTAAGTATTTAGGTAGAGGCTTCTGCGATTTTAATTTGGACATCTCTTGATTGAAGCTGCCCCGTTGGACATATTTAATAAGGCTAAGTAGAGAGCACTTTACCTCATTCGTAGTCAAGTGACCTTTCTCGCGTTGGCTTGGTTCTTTGCGCGAATTAGAAATGAAGCGAAAGACCCATGCCAATATTCGCTGTAGTCGCGATAAGGATGAATACCGATTTAATAACACCTTCATAATGTCTTTATCAGATTCCCGAGATTGAGCAATCAGAGTGCGTGTTCTCAACTCTGGCAACTCATCCTGGGGCTTACACCGAATTTGAGCTGGCCAGTGATCTGGACTACTAAGCATCCAATCTGGTCCTGACCACCATCGCTTACAATTGACCAATTCTGCACACGAGAGACCTCGGCTAGGAAAGTCAGCAGGATTGTCCTGAGTCGAGACATGCCTCCAGGTAGAAGGTTCAACTGCGTCAGTTATTTTAACTACTCGATGCGCAACAAAAGGTTTCAATTTGTATGGCTCTGTATTGATCCAAGCTAATACAGTTGAGCTATAAGTGTAGGCAACAATATGAGATATATTTATTTTCGAAATAAGTAAAGTTTGCATGTGTTTGAGAGTACGTGATAACAAGAGCGCACCGCACAACTCCAAACGATTAACTGTTAGAGGCTTAATCGGAGCCACTTTAGATTTAGAAATCAAAAGAGAAACTTGTTTTTGATCATCGATACTTGATCGGAGATAGACACAGCACCCATATGCTTTGGTTGATCCATCGCAAAACCCAATCAGCTGGTATGTAGCTGTTAAATCAATCACGGTTTTACGAGGGATTTTTATCGATTTTATATTAGACAAGTCAGACACAAATGAAACCCAATCGTCACACAGATTGGCGGGAATGATTTCATCCCAAGACAATCCAATACGCCATAAGTTTTGAAGAAGTAGTTTGGCTAAAAGAATAAAAAGTGAAAGCCAACCCAACGGATCATAAATACGAGCAACGTGGGACAGGATTGAACGTTTCGTAAACTCCACATTCACAGAAGAGACGGAGTAAGTGAAATAGTCTTCCGCAGGATCCCATTGAACTCCTAAAACCTTAAGCGTTATTGAACTATCATCAGAAAATGTCTTCGGACACTGACAATGTTCCATGGGTGACGATCGAAGAAATAAAAGGCTGTTACTGCTCGACTTACGCAAATCTAGCTGAGCACAATTAAGAAGATTGATTAAATCTTCTTTAAGCTGAGAGGCTGCTTCGACTGAGGAAGCACCTGTAGTAATATCGTCCATGTAAGTATGATGCCGAAGAGCTTCAGCTGCATGAGGAAACTGATCACCGTGATCTGCGGCTAACTGATGTAATGTTCGTATCGCTAAATACGGCGATCTTTTGACTCCGTATGTGACCGTACGAAGTTCAAATTCTTGAACAGGCAAGGAAGGGGATTCACGCCATAGTACGTGTTACCACACTCGATCCTCAGGCCTTATCAAGATTTGCCTGTACATCTTAGATATGTCACATGTAAAAACTATATTATGGACCCGAAATCCAGTAATAATGTCAACCAAATCGGCTGATTTGTAACTTCGGTCCAGTGTAAACAATATCATTTAAAGATAGTCCATTAGTCGTCTTGTGACTCGCATTGAATACAACGCGAAGTTTGGTCGTTATGCTTTCTGGACGAATCACACAATGGTGAGGAATGAAATATCTACCAGGGGTAATATCCTTTCCCACTGGTTGCATATGATTAAGCTGCTCATAATCACGCATAAAATCGTTATAAAGTGATTTAAGATCTGGTTGTCGGCAAAGTTTTTTCTCAAGATTTATAAACTGCGACAAAGAACTATTATATGAGCCTCCCATATAGACAGACGACTGCGTCAATAAGATAGGGACTACATATCGACCGTCCGATTCCCTATAAGTTTGAGTGGAATACAGGCGTTCGACCTCCTCATCTTCTGGAGCAGGTATATGTTGATGAGGCGGTTCCTCGACTTCCCAAAATCGTTTCATCATCTTCTCCAATGAATTGGTTGAAGTAATTAACGAAGTGCCAACCGATTTTACCGGAGTCTCCACATTGGTGGGTCCTGAGAGAACCCAACCAAAGACGCTCTGTAAAGCAGCAGGATAGCCGGGCTCTGGTTGAATGACACGGCCGTCATAGATGTGATGAAATACTTCAGCACCTAGCAATAAATCAACATCCGACGGTTTGTCAAAGTCACGGTCCGCTAATACTAAGTGTTTATAACAGTCTCGAACCGCTAGAGGAATATCAGTGGTTAGCATTTTAGAAGTAATGCTATCGATGACTATAGGATTAATATCAAATTGTGGGTCATTCGAATCACACGGGCGTATAGAGCATTGAGTCACTCCCTTGACTTGACACACAGACTGTTGTCCAAGTCCAGCCACAGTTGTGGTGCATCGACGTAATTGAAAACCAAGTCTCTTTGCGCATTTCATGGTGATGAAGCAGTCCTGAGCGCCGCTATCGATGAGCGCTCTAACTTGATGGAACGTGCCACTAGAGTCCTGCACACGCACCATGCACGTCCCGAGCAGCACCACGCACGGGCCACGAGCCTCTCCCACGAACGCACTCGTGTTAGTGTGGGCACTACTCGAACCGGTGGTCACCGCGGTCGGTGATCGAACTTGGTTGTCGATGTGTACCAGAGTGTGATGATTACCACTACAGATAAAACATCTCATTTTTGAGACGCATTTATCAAGAGAATGTTTTCGTAAACAGTTAATGCATAAATTATTTTGTTTGACAATATTCATTCTAGCACTGGTGTCCAAAGATTGAAAAGTGGGGCACTTATAGATACTGTGTGCTGCGCCACAATAATAGCACTCTAGTGAAGCCAGCTGCTTCGAACTAGTAGGCTTAGACTGAGTAGTGAGCACGGAACGTTTCAGGTTCGGTGCCCGCGGTGAAACATTCTTGATCTGTTTACCGCCTAAAAATTGAGAAGATCGCGCTCTAATGTCAACATTAGCATTTATTTCTAAAACTTTTACATAGTTTTGAAGAAACTGCATAAGACTTTGAAAAGAAGGAATTTCCGATTTATTTTCAGATTCGAAGCGGTGGCGCGTATCGGAGTCCAGTGCGCGAAACGCTGCGTTAAATAAAATAAAATCGCCTAAGTCATCTAGCTCTAAGGCCTTAAGGGCATTGACTGACTCACAAAGAATATTAGTATATGTTTGTAAATCATTGAAATTAGGAGTTTTTAAATAAGGATAGTTATTTATTTGATCTAAATACGCCACTGCTAAAATGCGCTTATTTTGATAACGCTTAATAAGTTCATTGAATACAAGCTCATAATTATCGGAGGTTAATTTTACCTTCTTTGCGATCCCTAAAGCGGATCCCGATAAACAAGAAATGAGATAATGAAATTTAGTAATATTCGCGATTGATTTATTATTATGAATTAACGTTACGAAAGTGTCGTAAAATGTTTGCCAATTCTCAATTTTTCCGTCGAACTTCAGAAGCTCGATTTGTGGCAGTCTAGCTTGTACCTTTTCCGCGTCAGGCGTAAAGGTGTAGTTAACGTCAGCGGACGTTGGGCTGCTGCCTCGTTTGCGCTCCGGTAGGGACATCTCCGCGGCAAAACTTAGAACTTCATAGTACATATCATCAAATGCAGACAACGCTTGCATATCTATTTTTTCTTTAGGAAACAGTGCCAGTTTTAACGAATTAATTTTTTCCGTAAGCAACACATATTCATCACGAATGTTCTCAATTTTAAGAAATCTAGATTTAAATTGGCTAACTTTAGAAGAACTGGAGTCTTCCCGTATTTGAGTGGATAAATCGAAAAGAGTTTGAATAGTACGAAAAACATACTCTCGCTGTGACGTATAAAGTTTAAGTTTCATTTCTTCTTGCGACATGATTATAAAATAACAGCGAAAAATTAAATATGAATGTTAAGTATAATTATTAACGACAGATATTTAAAACAATATTTAAGTTTCTCCAAACTAAATTAACATTCAAATACTTTTAATGTTAACGTTTTTTTTTAACCATTTGAATTAGATAACAATTAACAAACGACCCAACATTCATAGATATACAAGTATTTATACTTAAGTGCTATTATTCTAAGACCAAATTAATCATTTCCATAAACTGATTTAGTAATTTTTTCCAACAATAATTATAAAATACCCTCAAATTATAATAATTTTCAAAGCGTAAGACTATCAATGCACATTCGAAATAAACTTAGCAATTATAACGCAACCAAATAAGATAAGTCTGCAAAGTCTGAGCAATACGAAACACTTCACGAGCATTCAAGTCTAGCAGGATTATAATTGAAATGAATTAGTTACTTTCAATTATAAGAAAAATAGATTAAATATCAAAGTTTTCCTTAGAAATTGAACTTGATATTATCTTTATGAGGAGCGGACTGTATAAAAATAGAAATAGGATCCGGATCGTATGGACCAGAAATTATGTTACGGCTTGAATGTTTCGCAATGTGTTTCGTGGGTGGTTTTGGGAACCAGAGAACAACCAGATCAAGGGCTGGCTAACCCGATGATCCCAACCGGGAAGTAAACGAAAATATCTTTAGAACTGGGTAGATAAGGTAAGGATACTCACAAGACTGGAGCACTCATCGTTGTTATGGTGAAGTCTGTATATTTAGGCTGAAGTTCTCGTGTATACACAGATACCACACTGCACTTCGAATGTATATGGACACGAGCAATTGCACGATAGTCTTACAACTTATTTATTGCTTATTTTTAAACAAGCGGTAACGAACATGTTTTATGCGTGCGCGGCCATCTTGCTTCTCTCTTTTTTTCTCGACGATAGGTGGCGCACCATTCTGAGCAGTGCGTATACGGGGGAGGCGGGAGGATAGGAAACACTTAGGAAAAGGATGTTATATCGGGACTGTTCCGAAGCCACAACAGTATGGTAACAGACAACGGAGTTTTCATGAATATTGGAAACAGACATAAACCAAAATATACTAAGCTTAAAGTGGTTTTGAGCTATATTCAAGAATGAATGAAATGTCTTACATTCTGGTCGGGTGTCCCAGGTCTCTTGCATTTTCTTCAAGAGGTTATTATTTTCAGAATTCTGTATCGTTGCCAACCTCTCGTCTATTAATGTTTTTCTATTTACATAAAAGCTTTCGGTGAACAAGTCTAGTGGAAACATCTGATAGTATGTGAGAAAAATGCCACGGATGCCTGGAAGTCTCATATATATTATGTCCCAGAAAAGAAGAAAGAAAATTGTTGTTATAATTCTGCCTTCCCAATGGCCACCTGAAATTATAATTATTTGAAAATTAACTATTAATTTTCGCATTAAAAACATAGTTATGGCAAGGTATTAAATATATTCTTAAAACTTGAAACTTCATCATCACCAGCTAGTAGAAGTCCACAGCTAGATATGGGTTATATTATATCGACGGATTCAACTTGGCTGGGCAGCGTTCGGGAAATTACGACGCATCTTCTCGTCAGGTATACCTCAAAACCTGAAAACTAAGTTGTACAACCAGTGCGTGTTGCCAGTGATGACCTACGGAACCGAGACGTGGTCCTTCACTGCCGACAACCGTTGGGGAAGAAGGGTTCTCGAGTGGCAGCCTCGTACCGGTAGGCGTAGTGTAGGGCGACCCCCCACTAGATGGAGTGACGACCTGGTAAGACATGCAGGAAGTCGATGGATGCAGGTGGCTCACGACTGTGCTTTGTGGCATTCCTTGGGGGAGGCCTATGTTCAGCAGTGGACTTGTGAAGGGCTGTAATGATGATGATGATGATGATGATGAGATATGGGTTCCTCCTGTTGCGTTGTAGGGAAAATTTGCCTTAACCTTCACGCTTGACATGCGGTTAACGTTGTTGTGTATTAGCGGTGTAAGAATATCCAATACCCCATGACATCTCGTGGGTGTCGAAAGAGATGAATGAGGGAAACAAACCAGGAGATGGGCAGCAGCATCTTCTTAATAGAAACTAGAAAATAAAAAACTGCAGTTGCCAACCAGCCTGGCAAGGGTGGTAGCTGTGGTAAGTATCTCCCTGATGAGGCAATATTTGGGGAGGATTATGTTCAGCAGTGGAATTTTATAGGCTATGATAATGAACTTGAAGACGTTAAAATCAAATCGAAGGCAAAAAAGAATATTGTATAGTATATGGTTATAAAAATGTACAATAAGCTACCAGATCGGTTTGCGCTGGTTTATCAGTTTAGCTAAAATAAAAATAAAATATATAAAGATGATACCATTTGTGTACTGTCCACTGTTAATGTACTCTGTAATACAGAACTCCTCCGCTTCCGCCACTACCCGTTCTCCTTTGGAGGTCAATGTTTCAAATTTGATTTTTCCTCTGTTGTAAAAATTCCTGAAAATTTATGAATTTTTTACAGTTTTTTAAAAGATTTTAAATAATTACAATGCTGACATTTCGCTCTTTTTTATGCATGATTTATCGTTCTCTAAAAGTTTTGTTACAAAATGTTATTTGTCTTATTACATACAAAACATGGTTTATTGGTAATCTCCGTGTCATTTCTCTGTCACATTTTACGACACCCAAGTGGATATTCTAACACCACCACTACTTGGTCAAATTAAGAAATGTTACTCACTCCATAGGGTGCTTATAAATGTGCTTAGCTTTGAAATCTTTCTCTGATATTGAGTCTTTGGTTACATATAGTAACAACTCATCCCTAAGATGCCGAGCAATTTCATTACATGTCGTTTTCTGTGTCGCTATTATAAGCGCACGAGGACGCATAGCATCTTTGGATTCTTCAGACATATCAGATTTGAATCCTTCTATTAATATCTCAGCAGCCTGAAATTAAAGATGAAGAAAAAATCAGAAATAACATAAATGAAGAGAATGATAATTTTCACTTTTCCAAATAGGAATTATTAGAACACAGAATTTATTTCAACATAACCACAAAGTACAAAACTGCGGGTAGGAATTTGATGCGCTTGTTCGAGACCCGCTTCAGCAGCAGATTGCCATAGGCTGATGATGAAGTAACACACACAGGCACAAGTAAGATTTATTGTAGATCCATGTTCAGATCTGTCTTCAGACCTAAACAGTTAATAAATAATGTGATGAACAAATTACTTTTGTCTGCCATTCAAGCACTGGACTTACGATGGAAACCGTATACTTCTCACTCAGTGCTATCACAGGACATGGCTCTTTTAACAAACATTTGTTTACCATAGGTGTGACTGAAGAAACGGCGGCTCACGTGTTGCTGACATGTCCAGAAGTCGCTTCATACAGGGCTAAACATCTCGGCACACCGGGATCGCTCCCCGAAGTTGCTTGCAACATCAAAGGACTGTTGAACTTCTTCGGGGAGATATTACGGCTCGAAAAATCACGTTATTTCTGCCCATACGCAATATACGCGCTTAGACGTGGAGTTGCGGAACACAGCCCGTCGTAAACTAAACTACTCCTCAGTCAAACACTAACAATCAAGGAATCATTTAAAATAATCATACCTCATTATAAGAATTCATTCGCTTGTGTAAAATCAGCGCCTTTTCTGTATACCACTCGGCCTTTTTGTGCTGTCTAAATGCAGACTGTGATATTAACATGCTAAGAATGTCTAGCGCTAGCTTATCATGAATTTCAGTTTTTGATTTTTTCAATTCCTGAATACTGCTCTCTAATATTCTTATATATTTATAAGCTGAAGTATACTTTCGCAGCCATGTGGGCAATGATTTGTAACTGTAAATAAACATTTCATTTGTATAGTTTTATTATAATATTAATTGGAGTTTAGTAGTCAAGATTTACCTACTGGTGTAAGTAGACCATAGAAATAGATTATTATTTGCGATTTGGATACAGTTAAATATGAGTGTAACAAATACATGTGTCAATGCAAATCACAAATGAAGATAACTTTCCCATCAATCTAAACCCATCAATGTTGTGGTTTATACCCCCATTCGACTACTGTGGTGGAACCACTCCTAACACAAGCATTTTAAGTTTACCCGGATTGGTTATGGTATTTTTTTCTCATCAACTTTATTTAGTTTTAAAAAAGTTTTTCATTTAGTCATAACCAGTATATTAATTTAGCATTCACCAAAGTACACCTTCAGGTCACTTCATAAAGTCCCAGACATATAGGTATATTTATATATAAATCCTACGTACTATTAGCAAAACAACATATTGTAATGAAAATCTTTATATATAATGAAAATCTGTGATTTAAAAATAATAATAATATCTTACCTTGGTCAAGTATGTATCAAATTTAGTTTTTGGAACATTTTGTATTTCTACAGCAATCAATATTTTTCATCACGAGCTGTTGTAACAAACGATACAGTAATCCACTCATCATTCAAGTCAAGAAAAGAGCCTATTCCATTTTAAAAGGCCGGCGTTGCCTTATAATAGGCTCCTTTTTTTATAGGAATTTTTATAAGTGTAGTATAGTTGTAGCACGAATGGGTCGGAAGGACCGTTCTCACAGAATACCAGTGTAAAATAGTAGTTTAATGCTGCTGTGTTTCGTATTGTGAGTGTAGAGAACCAGAGGCCCTTCTTACTGGAAACGAGGCATTTCTTCTTAGTCCTCACGGGTGACAACGCATCTGCATTTTGATATGTAATCGAGGGTAGATGTAGATGTCTTTGAGCCACAACAACCACTTACCATCAGGTGGACTGTGTGTTAGTTTGTCACCCAATCATATTTAAAAAATACGCATCTGCAATTCCCCTGGTGTTGCAGTTGTTCATGGGCGGCAGTAATCACTTACCATCAGGTGAGCCGTATGTTTGTTTGCCCCTCTCCCATAAAAAAGAAACTCACGACGGCGGCCGAGCCCGGAGTGAGTCAAAGTGTATCTGTATATAGTAAAATATATTGAGATGTAAGGAATAGATATAAGCATATTACATATAAACATATACACAATGTAACCTAATTGTAACTATTTAAGGAGTGATTATTGCAAATATATTCAGTATCTACTCAGCAGTCTTGGCTTTCATTTCTCTCTCGTGCCACAACATTACATGGCGACCCTGCCAGGCGGTGCGCGGCGACAATGCACGCGCACCGCCGCGGCCTGCATAAATAGTTAAAGAAAAATGGAAAAATTAATATAAAGGAAAAATTTTCAACTATTGAATTGACACTACCGGATGTGACAAGTAAGCCGAAACGGAGACATAAGAAGCGGCGACAAGGTTATTATTTCTTTAAGGAGATATGCTAATAAAATCTATTAGAAAAAGAAGACAAATGTTACGGAAAAAACGGGAAAGATCAACTTCAGAAACAAATATTACGAGAGCTTCAAATATTACATGAAGATTAAATGAATTAGATGGTGAGACCACAAATTTAAGAAAAATAGAAGAAACTTAAGTCCTGCAAGACTTAGCCGATAAGAAGATAGAAAAATTGAGCCGAAAAGAACAAATTATGAGGTAACTTCGCACCTATGTGATTTTAATTCTATTTCAAACTTTATTTAACAATTTGAGATTGTTTTTTTTGCTGTTATGTTTTTAAAGTTAAATATTAAATATTCTGTATTTTACATATAATTAAGTAGAAATTATTTATCAGATTATTTACAATATACTTCATTATCAAATATTTTATTACCTACAAAAAAAAAAACAATTATAATACAATATTAAAAATTAAGTTGAATTTTAAGCACTTATGTGGCACTTCTATTAAGGCGCAAGACCACTTTATATTCCCTTTTATGCAGTTATAATTTTGTATTATTTTTTTTCCTCCTCCTGCCTGCCATACAAATAATGAAATAATAAAATAATAGATTCCAATTTTACGCACTTGATTTAAAATAATACTGTGATACATTTCATTGATTTTTTTTTCTCGAATCCAAATTTTAAAGGGTTAGAAACATTTCACTATCATTATAAGTTTTAATTTTTTTAAAAGCATTAAATCTTACATTTATATAATAACTTATGTAAAATATAAAAAAAAATTCTTTTAAATGTTTAAATAAATTAATGTATCGTTGTGTAAAGTTGATAACTCTTATAATGTGATTTTCCATTATTCTGTAAACACGACATAATAAATAACATACTGAAAGTATAGTAAGTAATATTTTTCGATCTATATAAAAGTGATATAGCTTCTAACGATGTAACCATGTGGACTTCTGAATAAATAAGAAATTAAAAATATCAGTTTAAGGTTCATTTTTTTAAGTTACAGTAGTACATTTTTAGTACTTATGTAGTTACAAATTGTACACGTTAAGTTCACATTAGGCACGATCATACGATGAGATTATTTTTAACGTTTATTATCAATTCTATTTTTCATATTTTCTGGCTAAAATAACACTTTTTATTTCTTTTGAATCACAAGAAACTAGTTAGGTATGTAAATATAACAAGAGTCAATCTTTACACAGTGAATATAAAAGGTCTGCTAACCATTTCTTACGAATGATACTGATGTTTCTAAAAATATGATATTATAAAATGTTATGCAATGAGCGTATTTTATAAAAACATAGTAACATAGATGATAAATTTAAACTGAACACAGCAACATGCAACACATGACACAGGTGTAGGATAAATCACAACAACATTGTAATAGCGATAAAAATAATAAGTATAGGAAAATAAATGAGTAAATGATAATAGTTAATTGTTATATAGATGAAAATAATAAATAAATAACAGTATAAACAGAAATAAAGTAATTAAGAGAGGTTTTAATAATAATGTTTCAAAAAAAAGTTTAACACCGACAAAGAAAATTTATAGATAAGAATGTTCTCTCATTTGTACAAAAAATTAGAAAGCATGTAATTGGTATGAGGAACGGAAGAAAGGAATGTTCGAACGGGTAAATACGAATGATTTAGTTACTAAGTTTTGTCAATATTGGACTGATCACCCAAATATTGATGATGCTTAAACTGTGCGATTTGAAATGAGTGAGAATGGTGCAGGTTAGTATATGGAAGTGGAGCATGAAAGTATATAAGTAAAGAACAAGGTAATGAAGAAATAAAGAAGGAATAAATATTTATGGCAATAATAAAAATAAAAGAAAATATGACATTGACCAATAAGTAATGGAGAGATATGGGAACGTCCATCACTGGTAAAGCATATAGTCCTCAAGCAGGGTATGCTTCCGTGATAGGATGATAAAATAAGGAGTTACGGGTACTAGGGAACAACGGCTTCAGTACAAATGATGTACATGAGTTTACTCATATTAGTACTGTTAGGGACCAGAGAAGTTTTAAATTTGTTACCCTTAATAATGGTACATTGAGGTCACATCCTTTGTTGGATCATGGTGCGAACATAGTTTTCCCCTGTGACAATTGTTGGAGTTCTTTAAAAGTTACTTAAAAAAACGTAGACCTCAAGGTTGTGCGCACAACCCAAGGTACACTATTACCTTGACACAGTATGAAAAAAAATTATGTACCCGCATGATAAATATCATGAAATGAAATATAATTGAAGTGAAGTGGAGCTCCGGTTCCCGATATTTAATAAATAAATACATATATGCGTGAATAGAGAGAAATAAAGCTAACTAAAAGTCAAAATATTAATTTTAAAAAAAAAGAAAGTACGTACAAGATTTTTTGAAAAGAAATGATAATAAAAAGGCCTAACAATCTACAAAAAATACAAGGTAATAAGGGGATCCCCGACCAAATCCATAGGGTTGGATAGATAGTTATTTTGCATTTCTATATTAGGACTATTAACGCTACCCAAAATGCTACTAGCAAGTTGCACATATAACAACTATAGGGTCCGATTCGCACAACTACACGTAAACAAATAAAAATATATCAACCCAATATGATAAGTACACTTTCGCGTAAATTTATATAAATTTACAAGATTTTTTCATATTTAGGCACATTGATTCATATTTACAATGATTCTACTTTAAATAATTTTTTCTGTCTCATGTTTCCTTATCTAAAATGTGTAAAATTTTGAACTACATTTATATAAAGCTTATTATAATCAAGTCCAAAGGTTATCGATACACTATTATTGTAAAGTTTATAATGTAATCGTTTTTTTTCTATAAAAAAGGGAACGAAAACCTAAAATTTTGTCACCTGCTTGAAATAAAATTGTCTTTTCCAATGTTAATAAATATTTCGTAAAAAAAAACTTTAGCTGTGTACCTAACAGTGTATTCTCTTTTTATATAAATTTCTGTCCCAATTAAGATAAACGTATTTCTTAGAAGTCATGAAATAATGAGTGTTCGAAATTATAAATAACTTAAACAATGAATGTTTATTAACGTAACTACTTTAATAAACATTCATTATTTAAGTTATTTATAATTTTTATTTACGTACGTTACTTTACGTAAAAGTAATATTTATTATTAACAATGTAAATATTTCGAACTTTTAAATCATAACTTCTAACTAAAACGTATTATATATATTAAAAGCGAAACTATAGTTTATGTAATAAATCTCGAGTGAAAATAAATGTAAAAAAAATATTAATAAATATATGGTATGATAGGTGATATGTTCATGTTAACGTGCAGTTGTGACGTTGATTAATATCAAAAATACGACAGGCTTAATGTCGTACGAAATAAAAATGTTAACGAAATAAAATCGCATGCGTATCACGGATTGACTTAGTAATATAATTATGTATAATCATGGTATAATCTGATCATGATCATGAGATTATAATTTTTTAAATGAAGTTAGTTTTATATTTTATTTAAATACTTTATATTATTCCAATTAGAAATTATATACATTTAAAGCCTATGTAACATTATATTTTATTTTATTCTTCAACATTAAAAGATTAAAATCCAATATTAAAATTATTCAATATTAAATTAATTATTACGTTATAAGATTCAAGAAAACTAAAATAAAAAAAAGTAAATAAATAACTTTCCTTTTTTTAAGTATCGGGGGAGGTGTTTATTATGATATTATGATATGAGATCATTAAAGATAATAAGAATTATACAATATGGTAGAACATTATAATCTATTTATCTATAAAAAAATGTTTATAAAATATAATTTAATAATTATGATTGAATCATTGTATTAACATACCTTATTATATAAACGAAAGTAAAATAAATTGTTAGTACATTTATTTATTTTTTTATTGCGGTGGAGATGAGATGTAAGGAATAGATATAAGCATATTACATATAAACATAAATACACAATGTAACCTAATTGTAACTATTTAAGGATTGATTTATGCAAATATATTCAGTATCTACTCAGCAGTCTTGGCTTTCATTTCTCTCTCGTGCCACAACATTACAATATTAGTACAAGGTTGCTCAAACACCTAAAATTTCGGAGTTTTCCAGCTTAAAAAATTAATTATGTCTAAACAAAATAAAATTAAACAGCCATTTACATTTCATGGCTTCTCACATGATAAATGAATAAATTAAAAAATAGATTGAGTTGAACAATTGATATTTTCAAAAGTTATCGTGTATACGTGATCTTATGTACGTGATCTACACCATAAGCCACTAAAACCACTTTTTACTGTAAAAATAGCAATTAATCGATTTTTTTTAAATAACTTCGACAATCATTAATTTATCTTTTTGAAACATGATTTTTTGAAATCATTTATATGTTCAATACTTTGAGTATTAAACCAAAGGAGACGGCATCGCAAGGCATACCCCTCTGTAAAAGGTACGAGAGTCCGACTCATACTCGTTATATAAAACTAGTTGCTCCGCGTCGTCCGTCATTCCGAAGTGATCGGTGCCAGTAGATCGAGCTCCGACAAAATGCCGAGTTGCAGTGTATTTACATGAAAAAAAAAAACAATCAAAAACGTCAAGTATACAAAAGGACAATGTGACTTTTCATCTGTGAGTATTTTTAACAGATTAAAGTAATTTTATCGTTAAAACTCGTACTTTGTAAATATTATCGTCCAATACCGAGTGTGGCCATCATAGTTCATAAAGTGAAAAATAATCTATTTTTAAATAGATGTAATTTACTACACAAGTTATATATATTAACGAAAATATATTTCCTAATAACTAAATCAGTTTGTGATGAATAATAATCATTACATATAGATGTGTAGTGGATTTTGTTAAATGATTTATATATTCAGCTCAATTTCAACACGATACTGAATATTATATAATTAAATATAATTGATAACTAGTATTTATTAAAATATTATACAAAATACAGGCCAAATAAGTCAAATCGAAACTTGCTACCTCGCAGCAAAAGTGTGCAATTATTATAAAAATAAACTAGTATCACTGCAACCGAAAGTGATGAACGCCGCAACTTTAGCTATCGATAAGTTAATTAACCATGCGGGTTTGTCTGCCGAACCGGTTTGTAGTTTTTATTTAGATTTTATAATAAAGTATTACAAAAAGTAGTAAATTTTTCTATTATTGGTTTGTTATTACAGATTTCCAAGAGATCCTCTTAGGCGGCACACTTGGATTGTAGCTTGTAGAAACCATGAATCTGACACTGCAGTACCAACCTTGAACTTGTGAGAGGTAATGTTGGGCTGTAATTATATTTAGATTAAATATTTTTATTATTACCTTTGACACCAATATTATTCTACTTGAAAATATTTTATTAAGTTTACAAAAGCACTAACCTATCAAATTTAATTCATATATTTATATACCTATTATTGTAATTGTAAATTTAATGTAGTATAATTTTTGTACGCCATAAATGGCAAAACATGTAGCTCGTTTTAAGTTTTTTAACACTTGTATTTTATTTACTCATGTTCTATAAAATAAATATCTTTATCATATAATATATATATATATATATATATATATAGCTTGAATCTTCTGACTAAAATAAAATTATTTATTTTAGGGTGATCGTGGTGATTGCACAATATCGTCTACATCGAAAAAAGAAAGCTGGATGTTCCGGCAAAATTCCATAAGTTATCTTGAAAGTCACAATTCGAAAAAAAAATCCTTATATAGCCCGAACTAGTCCTACTCCCACTGCGAGTACGAGCCAACACTTAGGCCAAAGAAAATTAAAATGAAAAAATGCCTTGACATAAAAAACAATAAACATAAATAAATAAGCATAAACAGGACTCACAAGTTTGCAAGAAATATTATGCCCTAACACTTAACTATTACTCACCAAAAGCCTATCGCTATGTACGTAAAACTTTTGGAACATGTTTGCCTGCACCACGTACATTGAATAAGTGGTACACTATCATCGATCGCCGACCAGGGTTTACTCAAGAAGCGCTGACGGCATTAAAATTGAGAGCGGAGAGTAACCCTGATAAAAAAATTTATTGTACCTTGCTAATGAAATTAAAATTAAGCAATTGATAGAATACCATGCAAGTAGCCAAAGGCATTATGTATATAACCAAAACGTCTTTTAGAACTTGCATGGTACTCCGTCAATTGTTTTATTTTCATTTCATCTATCACTAATATACAATATAATTTCGTGTCAGGGTTACTCTCTAGTCTAAGTTTTAAAACAGTTAACGCTTTTTTTTTGTGTAGCCAAGTCTGCCATAAATTGTACTGTACCACTTTGTTATAGTGGTATATGTGATGAAGGCAGACCAATTTCAAAACTTTTGATATTTCGCACATTTTATTAAGCTTTCGGTGTATAGTAATGTAAAGTTAAAGCAAAACATCTTTCTGGGGAATACTTAGCCCTAGGTAGATGTCACGTTTTATTTTTAGGCAGCTGTCTGCTTAAGTTCACTTTGTTAAACTATTATCTGGTGTGTAAAACTTTTTTGTTTTCCTAATTTATTAAATATTTTCCAGATAGTTCATTTAATAAATCTTGAAAAACAACAACTTTTTTTAAATAGCGGTTTTGTGATTGAAGCCTTATAATAAAAACAAAAACTTGGTTAACACCATCTAAGTCGATAAACTTATAGGACTTTTTTTTTTCACAAATCTGATTTTTAAAATAAGTTAACTAAACCTATTTCGATTTGTTAAATGTTTTAAATTTTATCCTGCATAATGTAGAATAAACCTGTAGCAAAATAAACTTATTTTCAATCATTTCTAAGTTTTTTCCGAAGAACATTTCTAAATACTTTAAAAAAAAGAATTTCAAAAACACCTTGGTATTATTTATCTATGTATTACTTATAATCAAATAAAAACTTATGCGGACTATGGTGATTTGTTTATCGATAAAAAATATCGACATAATCCACGCCTTACGTTGCTTACGCATTTAGACAGCGCCATCAGTGTATCGACGCGTGTACAATTTGATGGTATGCGTAAACGCGATGAACACAAACACAAATGCTGTAGTGTGCGTTTATAGTGACGCGATTTAATTTTGCATTTGTAGTTAAGTATACAGTTGTGTGGTTTTCTTGCGCCCCCTGATGTTGACAGAATTTTTGTTTAGGAAATAACGCGCATGACCTCTCCAGTTGGTTGAATACTCAAAGGTTCAATATGATGTTTAGATACGATTTCATACGTCAAAACGTTGAATTCTTGACTTTTAGGCGCTAGTAAAACATACCTACGCGCTTTGCGCTTAAAGCATGCATTAAATGTATGTTAATATAACATCATCTCGCACGTTGTTAAACATCGTGAGTATTGTCATCGGACATATTAAAGGTAATTTAATCAATACTCGATTCTGGTTTCAAATATTATCAAAAAAAAAACAAACAAAATTTGACCTATTTTATTATTAAATAATTGTTTAATATTAACTAATTGAAAAATCCCAAAGAAAAAGCAAGACTCGCCTTCACCGCAACGAACGAAGGATCATTCGTTGCGCGCGGCTCGATAGAAGAAGTAAGATTATTGTGATTCATATGCTAACTAAAATATCGCCAATGAAATGCTTTTTCAAATTTTCTCCAAATGAGGTTTCTGTGATCAGAACAGACGCTACACAAAAATCTACACGTTTCCCCTTTTTGTACTATTTCGTTTATTAGCGACACACCAATTTAAATGCCAGGTGTAACCAGACGCCTGGGTAAACAACAACTATGACAAATCTTTTAATTTATCATCATCATCATTACAGCCCTTCATAAGTCCACTGCTGAACATATGCCTCCCCCAAGCACAGTCCTGAACCACCTGCATACATCGACTTCCTGCATGTCTTACCAGGTCGTCACTCCATCTAGTGGGGGTCGCCCTACTTTATTATTTTTAAATACTCGCAAGTTTTTCGGATAAAATAATGCACAGATCACTTCTGACATTGCTTTCTGTTAATGAAGTTTCATCAAAAATTAATAGGTCTTAATGTTTTTTCAATAGTGTGCAAACACACCCCTGAGCTCCATAGAAGGCAGTTATTTCAATAATACAAAAAGACAATTTTATTTTTATATGTTTATAGAGAAGAACCAATGATAAAGAAATATAGTTTATAAAGTAATAAGAGATAAACCCTAAGTAAATGCTCATAAGTGCACCGAAAACCCGAGCAGACTTACACCCATAAACAGCACTTTTTAACTGAGGTCTTTGCTATTTTAAATAAAAAGTTACTGCTTAAAAAAGATTAGTATATTTTCGTGACTAATCTTTACTCTGAATGTATTAATGTTTACAGATACTAAAAATGACTTTCTGTACTTACTGTTTCATCTCTTCTTCACTGATTTTTTTGTATAGGTAATAAACTTTAGAAGTTATTTCCAGCTTTTCATTTAACGTTTTTGCTGCCTCCCAGTTTTCAAATATTGTGTATGCGTTGATGTACCTAAAAAAACATACGAGTTTCTCAATTAATGCAACTAATTAACTAACACGAAGGGTGTAAGGGTAAAAATTCATTGTAAAGTGCATTGTCATGCGGTTTTTTTTTATAGGATAGGGTGACGAACAAGCACACAGTCCACCTGATGGTAAGTGGATGCAGTAGCCCATAGACATCTAAATCTATCCTCGATTACGAATCAAAATGCAGACGCGTTGTCACCCGTGAGGACTAAGATGGAATGCCTCGTTTCCAATAAAAAGGGTCTCCGGTTCTCTACACTCACCATATGAAACACAGCAGAATTAAGCTACTATTTGATGCTGGTATTCTGCGAGTGCGTGGTCCTTCCCCGGTCGAGCCGAACTATTCGTGCTACAACTATACTACTAATATAACTGCAGTATGGCTCTACCACGTATATAAAACAGTTGGTTTGGTGGAGTTGGAAAACTAACATTTGGGTCCTGGTGGGTTGGTATCATGATCAGAGTGAAATGAAACAAAAGATAAAATGCAGTTACCAACCGGCCTGCTAAGCAATAATATGGCAATGTATGGGGAAGGCCTATGTTCACCTGGGGACTTTCAATGCGCTGTAGTGATGAAGGGGGAATAACGCCATCATTTCCCTCAAATGCTAACCTCACTCTCACATGCTACACCTTATCGTTATCGAAGATTTGACGACCAACTAAATGCAGAGAATTCATCCAACACTGCATTGCCAATGCAAGCTTATCGGTTTAGCACTCACAAACCCGCCGGATTACGTTGGTTAGAATGGAAGTAGATAGAATTTTCGAAGCAGTGCTTGCCTTTGGCTCAAACTTAGTGTAATAGCCAGGGATTCACTGGTTCACACATGCACACGTAAACTCACGTTTCACTACACATCCACTCTCGCACGCGGCTCTCGTGATACTGTCGCGGTGCGCTCGAAACAGTGGACGTTTATACTTGTGTCTTAACAGGCAATATTTATGATACTACCTTCATTCCGATTTATGAACCTTATTTTATTACATACTTATTAGCATTTTATAATCATATACACTACACATAGGAAGGCTAGTGTCTGGCAATCCTGTTGTTGATGTCTTATGTGCAAACAATATATATGGGTTATATTCACTTTATAGAAATATACTATAACAGGTTCATAATTACCTTTCAAATTCATCTCTTGTATTAAAAATAACACTTGCATTGTCCAAGCGCATATCCTTATCAATTGGGTAGGTTTCTTTTTTTGCTTTGTCATTTATCAATAATAATTCTAATCTGTTTTCTCTTATCAAACCATAATCTATTCCCAAGTACATTAGATGGTATAGCTTAGTAAAGGTTGTATGTGCCGCCTCAGTTAATCTATAGCATGATCCAGTTTTAAGTTCCAACCTAAATAAAATACATTGAAAATTTACATGGCAGAAATTAGGAAAACATAATATTTTTTTTTCAGTACTTACATCTTTAATACTCTATCTGCGTTATTACTCTTAGGACCCATAAAATAACTGCTTATGTTCAATGTGCGAGAGCTGAAATTTTTCAAAGATCTAATTGCATCTATTTTGGTCTGGACTTTTAATTTTAATTCCTTGCATATTTCTTTTAATTCTTCAAGTTTCAATAATTCAAAAAAATCATCGAAGGTCATTTTATTGTTGTTATCTACAAGCAGATAAAATATAACATATAAGCCATCTTAACCGCCATCTTTAATATGTCAGAAAAATTTATAACTGCTAGGAAAATAATGAAGTCTTAAAAACTATGGCCTAAAACCCTCCTCCTTATTATGAGTTAATAAAATCACAGGTGTCAGAAGCAATAATAGAACATAGAGTAAAGATAATTCTGATTGAGTCATTCTTTACTTTTACAACTTATACAGATAAAAGCTCAGTCCAGGACGTGTGCCGAAAAGAGCCAGCAAGTAAACCCAGTAGTAAATTTTGTTACATACAATGGGAAATAGGTAGAACAACTATGTCAAAACGAATTTAAGAAACATCTTTGAATTGATCACCTCATTCCCACCTTATCAAACAACCAAACATATCTTAATCTTTATATATATAAATTACGTGTCACATTGTTTATTCGCGATGGACTCCTAACATACTAAACCGATTTTATTCAAATTTGCACACCATGTGCAGTTTGGTCCAACTTGAGAGATAGGATAGTTTTTTGCCCATGAGATTTTTTAATAGGACATGACAAAGGGTCGTCGAAAAGGGCAGAACAACGTCTGCCTGGCAAGCTAGTATTATATATAAATTACGTGTCACGTTGTTTGTCCGCGATGGACTCCTAAACTACTAAACCAATTTTAATAAAATTTGCACACCGTGTGCAGTTTGGTTCAACTTTAGAGATAGAATAGTTTTTTTGCCCATGAGTGACCCACATTTTTTTGCGAATTTAAGGATTTTTAATAGGACATGACAAAATGTCGTCGAAAAGGGCAGAAAAACATCTGCCTGGCAAGCTAGTATTCATATAAATTATAGTAACAGTATATATACACAAATAGAGTTGAGTAATTAACAATAGCAAAATTAGTTTGCTTAGTATATAATATATATTACTATACTACATATATATATATATATATATATATATATATATATATATATATATATATATATATATATATATATATATATATATATATATATATATATATATATATATATATATATTGAGACCCTTTTTACTGGAAACGAGGCATTCCATCTTAGTCCTCACGGGTGACAACGCATCTGCATTTTGATCTGTAATTGAGGATAGATGTAGATGTCTATGGGCCGCAGCAACTACTTACCATCAGATGGACTGTGAGCTTGTTTGTCACCCAATCCTATAAAAAAATAGGCTCAGTGTTAATTTATTCGTATTTGTCATTTGGCATTTATTGTAATGTAAAGCTGAAATTTTTTTTGACAAACACTTAATCTTTGAGAGAAAACTAAAGAAATGGTTAGCAAATATGATGCATAGGTATGTTCCATATGTATTATGTCTGTAAATATTATAACTACTTATAAAACTAAATGAGACTTAGCTGTTGAACGAAAAGACAGTGACGACCCTGCAACAGTAGGCATATAAGTCTCGCGGAAAATTATCCTTCTATTCTGGTTTTACTATGTCGCTCGGTCGGCAAAAACGCAAACAGAGGATTGCGCATATGCATAGTCATGTCCCATAAATCACATTCAATTTAGGACCAAAAGCTTTTTTTTGTTGTGAAGGGATGTGCTTGTGTTTAGAAGGTGTTGAATCTCTTAAGATTGGTAATTACCCCAATCAGAGACTGTCTGTAGTGAAAGATTCACACATTTAACCATACTTCCTACTATTTTGATTTTACTATGGTAAGGGTCGCTCGGTCGGCAAAAACGCAAACAGAGGATTGCGCATATGCATAGTCATTTCCCATAAATCACAATCAATTTAGGACCAAAAGCTTCTTTTTGTTGTGAAGGTATGTGCTTGTGTTTAGAAGGTGTTGTATCTCTTAAGATTGGTAATTACGCCAATTGGAGACTGTCTGTAGTGAGAGATTCACATTTAACCATAACTTCCTTTTCAGACTACATTTGATCCCAACTGTTTCAAGCCCTCAGTTAGTATCACTCCACAAAAACCTGACATAAGGAGGTCATTGAAATGCAATAGGAAGAGAGTTGAGAAGAGAAACGCACCCATGAGTAACTACTTGCTTGGCACAGCCTTTGATAACCACTCTTACCTTAGCTTTCAGAATATCATTATAATATTAACCACAAGTGATGCTTCTTTTCTTAATAAAAATGTCACATATGCATTTTTATGCACACAAAGCACACATACAGATGACATTCAGCATGACATCAAATATGGGTGCTGTCACCCAAATACAATATTGACCTAACAGGTCATAGGTTTCTAGTTTAATAATCTGACAAGAGCACTATTGTGATAAGGGAAAACAAATTATCATACCATGGGTGTATACCTACCTTTAAATAATTTCCACAAATTAACAATTGTAATTCAAGAGACTGCAGTTTTGGTATTTACTAACTTTAGTTTTGATATTTTTAAAATTTTATTATGCTTAAACAAATTTTATAAGGATAAACATTAGACATTATAGATAGACAAGATACACAAAGAAAAATAGTGCTTTTCTCATGATAGGCGGTTTTGTGTTTATCCAATATCAAAATCTATAAGCCTTAGGGCCCAAAGGATGATAAAATACTATATGAACAACAATATTTTAAAATAGTGCTCTTCCTTCTCTTTAGAATAGTTCAAATCTACACGCTCAGCTTTGGAAAAATCTAGTAGACAATGCTAGACAAGCTAGAGAGGCCATGCCAGAAATAAACAGTAGTTTAACCAAGGTACTAATGAGGCTGAACATGCCACAGATCAGGATAGTAACAAGTGCTATCACAGAACATGGCTCATTTAACAAACATTTATTTACCATAGATGTGACAGATAGTTTCATTTGCATGACATTTATGGGGGAGGAAGAAATGACAGCCCACGTGTTGCTGACATGTCCGGAAGTCGCTGCATACAGGGCTAAACATCTCGGCACGCTAGCATCACTCCCGAAGTTGCTTGCAACATCAAAAGACTGTTGGACTTCTTCAAGATATATGACTCGAATAATCACATTATTCCTGCCCACATGCAAAATACGCGCTTAGACAGGAGGACATGGAGTTGCAGAAAAGAGCATGTCTTAAACTACTCCATGCAAGATACACTAAGAAATTTAAAAGCTAATAGTAGTCTGAGAGTAAAATTTTAATCTTACCGCTAAATACAGATGATTCTACTAAGCCAATTTGCTCTAGTGATCTAGTCATTAATTCCAAACTTGGGTCATCTATGTTATTGGTATTGTCACTAGCAATTTTTTTTATTTCATTCTTTCTATACCAGCCTTTCCGGCGCCAGTACAGCCTGCAGACCAATCGCATGCCCGGTTTTACAACATTCACACATTTAGATAGAAGATTATCTGTAGTTTCTGGTAACAGGCGTCTAAGAGAGTGATCTTGAAGATATTTGTGAACAATTTTTAAGAGAAAAATAGCTGTAATTAAAATACAAGTTTAAGTTTTAAATGTAAAATATATTTACTTTATTTTTACACAGTAACTTACTCTTATCATCAAAACCTTCGCAAATTTCGGAAAAAGATCTATCAAGAATCATTGGCTCATTGTACGAAAATAAAGAATTATTTAAACTTCTCTTTGCCTTTTGAGGAGAAGTTATTCTACGGTTTTTAGTTGGCGAAAAAAACTTGTTTGACCTAGGACTGCGGAACTTATTACTATTTGGGGTTGATCCAGGGCGCGGTTCTTTTTTAGGAGTTGTAGGAGAGTATAAAATTGTACTTATAGACTGCCCTGGTGAAGTATTACTATTATTGTTCTTAGGCTTTTTTTCCGGTGAAAATTCCGAATTTTCATCATCACTGCATAAGTCTATAACATTTTCCGATATTTCCCTATTTGATTTTGCGATCTTTAATGATGTTGGTGAGTTCAGAAGATTAAGTCTGCGTTTCTTTTTCTTAACAGCATCCATGCTCATGCTCAAATAAACTTTGCCGCCTTTTATTCTATAATAATTACTTAGCTTCAATTGTTGACTCATCACGCTAACAAACAATAAGCACTATGTATTATTTATTTATTAAATCATGTGTACAATAATCACATCATAAAATTCTTTTTGTTGTAGTTTTGTTTTTTCCTTTGGTTTTTTCGGTCCTCCCAAAGACCGTAGACAGTTGAAACCTATAGACAAATTGACGCCTTCTTTCGCATCCGCACACGAAAAAGATAGATTTATGCATACGTCTTACATAGAAATGAGATAGAGCGGTGTGATTGTTTGTCCCTTTCTCCGTGCCGGTTTTTTTGTTTAGCAAACTCTACAGTTTGCTAAACAACTTTGAAAGCGTAGTGATTTAAGGAGTTTACAAGTTTGTTTAAGTGAGAAAAAAATGTTTTGAGAGCTTAAGATTGGTGAATCTTGTTCAGTTCAGTTCTTAGAACAATTAAAATTTTTATGTAAATGTGTTTAAAAGTCATAAAGATTATTGTATAACCTAAAAATTCGTTATCGTCCTTTCTCACTCGAGGCCACGCCGATCATTGGTCTATAGGTTTCTCTGTCTACGAATACAACATTATTTAAGGTTATAGCATAGATTACTGAATATATACTAGGGTTATAGGGAAATAAGGAAAAGGTTTTCTGTATATATTACTCTACTCTATGGAAAAGGTCCTACTAACTAGGGATGATGGATGATCATCGATAGTCGATGATCATCGATCGATGTTTTAACATCGATGTCACCACGTGTCAAACATCGATGTCAATGAACCCATAGGTAACCAATTAATAGGAACCTATGAAAAACGCAAATCCGCGAAATCTATATCAACTAAATCTTGCATCTTCTATTAAAAGTTTAAAATTTAGAGTAATTCATCATGCATCGATCACCTAAAAAAAATATCATTATCGTGTGCCAAACTTCACTGTCAAGTGTGAATTGTAATGTCACAGTTGTAACTGCTTTCGCTTTGTTATTCTGTAGTAACGTTGTCGGTTGTCGCCTAACAACTATTCTACGTAAATTGATATTCAAATGAATTGTATTTCCCTTGATGTCTGTACCAGTGGCGTAGCTTGCCTTAGATGGGTCCTGTATCAAGATTTGTTGGGGGGCCCAAATGAAAGGTCCAAAACCGCTTGCATGAAATAAAATAATAATATATATATATATATATATATATATATATATATATATATAGATTATAAATTAATAATTACCATTAATACTAATTAGGAACTAAGCGAGCCAAACAATACAAATCAAATATACACTTTTCTCGTCTTGTTCGGCGAACTTAATAGGTCGGGGAAAGTTTTTTCGTTTTTTAATTATATACATTTTTTTTAAGTTTTATTACACCTTACTTATTACTACCTTTCAGTGAGCTCGTGTGGTACCTAAATATCTATATCTATCTAATGTATTGGAAATAGTTGTAATACTTCATACATTACTTAGGTCTCAGAGGCTCTGAAATCTTTGTTTAGTTTGAGAAATTAATATGTCTAAACAGCAGAATTACAAATTGACTTTGAAGTAAGATTCCGGATATGAAATTCTCTCACTTTCTGATATTCTTCTTTAAAAAAAACACTTCGTTATCTTCTTTCTTTTATTTTTGAAAGCAGTTTTTACATCCCACTCTTTTGTCAATCTCTGGACTCGCTCAGCAAACTATGGAATGAATTTTGATTTCCTATTTCGCTCAGTATATGCAAAAGATTACTTAGTAAAATGTTAGCTTTCTGTAAGTCATTATTTTCATGCTGTAGAGCTTTAGAAAAATGATTAATGATTTCAAGTAGTGAATAAAAAAGACGACAAGCACTCTAAAATTGTAGGCTCTTTAAAATGGTAACTATATTTTTCTATTCATCATGTTCACCTATTTAGTGGAAATTAAATTTAGTTGGTACAAAGTTTTCATTATTAATATCATTTGTCATTAAAATAATTTTTCCTCATAGCTGATAAAGCGTGGTTTCTTGAAGACCATTTAGTAGGACACCTATTTATGGTAATATTATATTATTTAGATGAATCGTTACTCAGCATTGGGAAGCGTTTTGTACTATTGTTAAAAAAAAGTATATTTTTGGGTTATTCCGTTTATCAACCCTAAAAATTCACCCTAATGGATACTAGCAAACGCGTGTTCCTCTGTCGTCCCCAGACGGGGTTGAGATCAGAGTTCATTTTTATTTGTTCTTCCGACTTTTTACCCAAAGTACTGTTTAATAAAGACACTTTAATTATTAATTATGTTTAATAACAAAAAATTTAATCAAAAACATATTACGTACGTTTTCGTCAACGTTACAGACTATTAAAGTCCATGCATTATGTATTATTATGTATATACAACATATTATATTTAGCGAAGAACTGGGCGTTTTTGCAAGCATTCCAAAAAACGTTACCAATGAATGTTTGTCTTCATTTTAAATTATTTTATGCCGAGATTCCAATGAATCAGTAATTCTGTGAGGTTACTCCTTTTATTTCAGTGTTGACCTCTACTAAGTATCTTGTTGGGCCAGTTTTTATCATATTTCTATTAATGACTGTACACAGAAGAGGGATTGTTTTTACTGTTTTTTTTTAAAAGCTAACCCCTACACTAGGACTTTCTTCTGTATCATGGAGGCAGTTTACAAACATAAATTGCACAAGGACAAACATCCAGACCCGGAACAATCATATTATGTAGGCCATACAAATACTTGTTCGGTGCGGGATTCAAACCCACGACCCCCGGCGCAACAACTCATTGCTAAGCCACTGGGCCTTAAATTTTGACAGGTCTTCTTTAGGCACGTTACGAACTATTTGATTCAATAATATGATTTTTTTCTCGAGAAGTACGCCCTAAGAGTTAGAGTGAGATTGTGGATAACAATATACGGTAGTTTACGAATTTTTGCTTACACACGTTCGGGGCCCCTGTAACCCGGGGGTCCCGTATCATTGATACGGCTGATACGGCGGTAGCTACGCCCCTGTCTATACCCATATAATTTTGAAACAATATGTAAGTATCTACACAATTCAATTACATTTAGTTGCATATTTTAGCCTATCATAATGAATTTATTTTTTGCTTGAACTTGAAATTTATGAAAATAGATCACTGAACGAGCGTGAGCATAGAAAATTTCACTGCATAGTGCATTCGACAGTGCATTTTATAAACGGGTGTGTATACCTACTGCTTGGGCTGTCTGATTTAAATTTGTGAACGAAGGTAACGGAAAAGTCTATTATTTTTTTTTTGCGTGGTTTGTTAATTTTTTCTTTAAAACAATATTCTTTTCTTTCGCGATTAAAGTAGTTGATATAAAAACTCAGTCCAAGTCGCAATTTAGGTCCCACAGTAAATTGTTTTCATTTCAGATTTGTGAATGTGTAGAACATTTAAAAATCAAAATAGTAACATTCGTCATGACTAGCAAGAAATATTAGACTACAATATTATAATCATACAACCTCGGTGGTTTGGCACATGATGGTATTAGCGAATTCACGTCGAGATTTAATTTTTCGGAGTATTTCTTTATTAAATCGCTAGTTGTTTTAAGCGTGTTAGTTGTAGGGTCTGTTTTGACCTTTTTATATGTACTTTCGTCCGATAAAAGTTGTTGTATTTTAAAATTATATTCCGACGTGTCCATTACTACCGTAGCATTTCCTTTATCCGCGCGGAGAATCGTGAGTTCTGGTCTGTTCCGTAAGTTATTTAGCGCTGTAAATTCGTCTTTGGGAAGGTTTGGTTTCGGCACTGAACTGCGACGTAACAAGGACGAAATATCTTGACGTATGGCCTCCAAATCTTCCTTACCGATATTATTCTTAAACAGACAATCCTCAACACTGCAGATAATTTCTTCGTACGGGATTTTTCGCGGAGTTAATGCGAAGTTCATTCCCTTCGCTAATACTTTCATTGTCGGTTCGTCCAGTGTATGTTTTGACAAATTACAGACAGTGCGTTGTTTATAGTTTGTGTCTATGGTCAACGGTTGTTTATTGTTCTGGCGTTGACTTGGATGTTTGGCATTTGATTTGATCGTTAATTTTTGGTATTTTTCTATTTGTTTATTTTTGCATTCATTGTATTTTGATGTTTCTCGTTTGTTTAAAGTTTCGATGCAATTATTAAAATCAAATGTCGTTAAAATTGTCTTTAGTTCACTGGACAAATTGTCTACGGTGTTGTTTATGAAATGTAAATCGAACCGTTTCTGCTGAATCACCGTCCGTAACAACTTTTTACTTGCCTGATTTAAGATCTTAGCGCTTCCTCGAATGTCCTTCTTTGTTGATATTTTGACACACGTAGGAATGAGATTATGGTCTCTGCATCTCTTCAAGAAATTTAAAGATGTTATATATCTTGCGCGCTTGGTTTTAAGATCTTCTAATCGGCGAATTTCATTTGCTATTACCAGTCCGTACTGGTTCACATAATGATTTCTTAAATTTACGCGAACACTACACATTGAATAAAACTATTATTTACGGATTTTATCGCGTTTAATTACTTTAATTTATTTTTATTATTATCCCGACGTTTCGGGTGCTTTACAGCGCCCATGGTCACGGGGGGGGGGACTGAGATGTTTGACGTCCCAATGTCATAGTTAGTCCGGCTACCTTCAGTTTTTTAATATTAATTTTTGGTCCGATTTACGCAAAACGAGCTTATAGTAATTTTACCATCTGACAAAGTAACTGCATTTTTAGACCACCTTAACTCCATAAACTCTAAAATACAATTCACAATGGAGTTAGAGGCAAATAATTCTTTAGCTTTCCTAGATGTTTTAGTCATCCGAAATCCTGATAACACTATTGGTCACACTGTGTATAGGAAAAAGACCCATACCAACCGATATCTAAATGGTGAATCTCACCATCATCCTTCACAGTTAGCTACCGTGGGTAAATCTTTGTTTCAGAGAGC